AGAGAGAGAGAGAGAGAGAGAGAGAGAGAGAGAGAGAGAGAGAGAGAGAGAGAGAGAGAGAGAGAGAGAGATGGAGAGAGAGAGAGAGAAGCAAAGAACCCTTTCACATTATTCAGAAAACCCCTGCTGATACTTCAGAAGGCCCCTGCCAAAATTTAGCAAGGATCTCCTCGGTGCAAGAAGAGGGTAGTAGTTTGGCTTGTAGGAAGGCAATAGCAGGCCAGGTATATAGTATATATGGTGTAGCTTCGAATTCAGGTCCGTGTTTCAGCAGTTATGGGTTACTGACTTACTAACTCGGCATGTGATTTTCAGGGAACCATACAAGCCATATGTTTTTCTTTTGTGCAAGTGCTGATGAGTGGAGCAATGCCCTTAGCGCCACTGCACGTAAGAAAAGGAAAAACAAAAAAACGAGACGCTACGGTAGCGTTTGGAGTAAGTTTGTAACCCATAACTCTTGGAACACAGACCTGAATCCGAATCCAGAATATATTGCTGGCCTGCTCGTGTTCCTCTAGCAGTTCAATGAACGTCCTTCCAAATGAACGGGATCCCTGCTAATTCTTTGCAGTGGACCCTTTGGAAAAGAGACTAAATCCAATGAGGAGTACGATGTGGCCCCAATTGTTTTTTTTTTTCTTTTTTTTTTAATCAGAACCTCTTGGTCCCGGCTCCTGCCATTCTGGGATCAACAGTCCGGTTCCTATTCCCCGGCAAGTCGATATGGAATACATAGGGAACTCACGCACACTCCTCCCAATTATGGCTGGGAGGCCCGAGTGGGAGGCATTGATTACTTCCTTGTGGAAGGATGTAACCCCTCTCACCCCTGCTTAAGTTAGCCTATGACACCTAATCTGGTAGGCCCTTGCTAGTCTCTCTGGTCACAGTCCTGCTCCTCTCGGCTGCAGTGCTGTCAGATCGGCATGTTATGCTAGAGCAGTCCGGGACCTTGAGGATTTCTTAAACTCCTGAAACCTTGACCCCTACTTGTCTTGCACCTGTCCTAATCCTGTGGTTTTGTCTATCTAGCCTTGGTTTGCCATGACCCCGCTTGTCCTGACTGTGTTTGGACTCTAGGTCTTGGAATCTGTCTAAGACCTAAGCCGTTCTCTTTTTAACTTTGTTCTGGTAGTGTCCTTTAGGACCCATCCATATTTTTAGCTTGTTTTCCTTATCCCTATGTGTGGGGTCTAACTAGAGTCTATTACCCTACTTGGGGTGAATGCTATACTTCTTGGCATCTCCGAGAACTGTGGTTGTTCCACGTTGCGGTGTTTCCCATGTCCAATTAGTATTCCTTTTTTCCATTTTTTGGGTTATTTGGATTTATCTAGGGAGTAACATTAGTTAATGATTGATTTTGGTGGAGGTTTTCTGGTGTTATTTTGTCCCACAGTTTGAATTCTATACTTTGCCCATTGATAGCTGCTATTTTGCCTTTTGCCAGGAAGTTTGCCTCAATTTTTTGCTGGTGAATCTTTGCCTTGTCTTCGTCTTCCTTCATCTTTGTTTTAACCTTCCTCCATAGGGTCCAATATTATATTTCTACCTGCTGCTGAATGATTCCCCATGCCTCTTGATTATGCATCTTTTTTTCTCTATTGTCTCTTGGCATCTTTTCTTTCATATGACCCATAATGTTGCTTTTCTGATTATCTTAAAGAAATTGGTTTCTAGGGGGGACCATTCCTCTGGGAAGTTGAATCCTAGGAGTATCAGTGTGTAGTTGTTTGTTAGAGTGGTATCTGTGATTGTTTTCCATAACTCGGATACCCTTTGCCATATAGGCTCTATTCTGGGGCACAGGAGGAAGCAGTGGTACAGGTCCTCTGTTAATCCCAGGAGGAAGATGTGGCCCCAAATTTTTTTTTTTCTGGGCCCCAAATTATTATTTTTTCTATGCACTTGACAGCCTGCCCTTTTGAATTTTTTTTATCACGTGTGTGAGTGTGCTATGCGGCACACGTGTGCAACTTGCACGCACGTGATGCGCCGCATGTATGCAATAAAATGAACCAATAAATACAGGGCTTGAACCCGTCCTGCCAAAGCCAGGGAACGAAGCCAGGCCAAGACAGGCCCAGACTAGGCAGAAGAGAAGTCCAGATCTTGGCCAGGGCCAGCTCTCTGAGAGGCAAGGACGAAGTTCTGCACATAGGCCCAGGTGTTGTTGGCCACAAGGTCGCCCAGATGGTCGTTGAGGTTCTCAGGAGGGATGAAGAAGCCAAACTCAGCGAACATACCCAGGCAGCCATTCTTGAGCTCCTTAACCTTGATCTCAGCGAAGGTGTTGGGGTCACCAGCAAGGCCCAGGGGGCTGGACCTGCCACCAGGATGGTGGGGTCCACCACCTCGCCAAGAGGACCACCATTCACTCTGTAGCCCTCCACAGCGCCCCTGAGCACCACCTGGCAAGCCCAGATGGCCAAGATGCAAGGCCACCCTCAAAGAAGATGTGGGCTCCGGCCTTGAACCACACAGCCTTGCCGAACTTGACTCTGCTCCAGGACAGCAGTTCCGGGATGAGGCAGCCAATGGAACCAAGGATGGTCCACCTGGCGTGGATCACCTCACCTCCAACTTCCTGTTGCAGGCGAAGATCTTCGAGCCTGCAGACAGACCAGTGGTGTTCCAGCCATAGCCACCCGGGAACTCCCCCATCAAGTAGGAGGGGGTCTCACAGGAGAGAGGGCCAAGGTAAATGGGGCGGTCAGGACTGTACCAGACGTTGTCCACAGACTTAGAGGCGCTCTTTCATATGACAATGTGAGCCTCTACATTCCCAACCTTCTCGCTCAGTGCACTCTTCTCCTTGACAGCGGTCTGGCCAGCGAAGGAGCTCGGCGCCGAAACAACGTCAACGGCAGAGATGGAGCCATGGCTATGACTGTTGGGAGAGAGAGACATAAACGCAACCTGTTGGCAAAGTTAATGCTCTTCATTTAACTGGCGATCCGATCATGAAGGGTGATTACTCGAAATGGAACCGGACTGATGCTCCCCAGAATATAAAGGAGCCAGGGCCATCATAAGGACCTGTTGAAAAGAAAACAGAAAAGAAAAAAGTACTCAGACCAACCTTATTCTGCAACCTCGGATTACAAACGACACAGGCCTCCCGTGACCACTGTCCTCCCCTGAGCACAGATGACTCTAATGGGTGGAGTAAGGCGTCTGCCAGGTACATCTGTAGTTCGAAGAACATAAAAATTGGGCAACAGAATGACCCCCTTCAAAGGGTGCCACTTTGTTTCTGACAATCTCGCAGCCATACAAAAAAGTATCCCCCAGCCCTGGACTAAGCTATTTAGGGAAGGTTTCATATGGACACCCAGGGACTGGGGTCTCGATGTTTCCCACCAAACTCGGTCCGAGCATATCACATCAAGAGAAGGCTTACCTCTAACAGTTAAAGGGCAAGGTTCATCTCCTTCCCCATTTCAAGTCAGAATAGTGAAGAACTGGAGATAATCAACTTCAACCCCGAAGTTGAGACACTTGACTCATTCCTACTCAGGAAAATGTGAGTGTCTACCCATAAACCCTTGGTAATTTTCAACCACAGAGCTCGAATTCAACCCAAAGGAATGGATATGCACCCAGAAATATCACAAGAAGGCTACGCCGATAACCGTATATGATGTCAAGTTCAGATATGAACCAGGCGCCAAGACTGACGATGTCAACCCTGAGACTAAGAAGAGGTGGAAAACAATACTAAACCGCGACTGAGACTTCAAGATCAAGATCTCGTGGATAAAGTATCCGAAGATCAAACCAATGAAAATCCGCAGCATGCTGTAGCTGATCTTGCCTGGACTGCCTTGTCGGTCAATCACTGGCTTCATAAGAAAAGGAAATGCTCAGGTCCAACAGCGCCAATATCTGAGCGATGTGCACCACCGCTTTCACACAACTAACTTCTTGTTATGATCCTGGCCAATTTCGAAGTACAAATTCATAAGCACAATCTTGTCCAATTGCAAAAAGAAATGAATGAACTCGAGAGGAGAGAGAGGGGAAGCAGAAGAAGTAGAAGTAGAAGAAGAAGAAGAAGAAGAAGAAGAAGAAGAAGAAGAAGAAGAAGAAGAAGAAGAAGAAAGAAAGAAAGAAGAAGAAGAAAGAAAGAAGAAGGACAAGATATACACCAGCAAAGACCAATGATAATTCCCTTCTTCTCACCAACACTCTCCTCCTCCTTTTATTCTCCTCTCTTATTCAAACAATAAATAATAATAATAACATGAGGTCCACCATAGCCATGGCCGCCTCCTCCTTCCTCTTCGTGAAGGTCGAGGCTATGGGGAACTACTAGGGCCTTGCCCTGCTGTGCAAAAGACAACTCAAAGCAGCTATGGCTGCTCCTGTTGACTCTGCCTCGAAGCTTCTTGATGTAGGTCTACCCCAATGGGGCCTTCCAGATGCAGCGCCCACCAAGGTGATAAAGATGGCATCCACCATAGCCAGATAAGTACCTCTGGAGCTCCCCCTTCCTAGTCCTAGTCTTCCTCCTCCTCCAGCCCGAGCTCCTCCACCATAGCCAAGGTGTGGAGCTGGGCACTCCTTTCCCAGCAGCGCTGCTTCACCCACCGCTGCTCCAGCCAGCGCTCCAGCGGTGTGTCGCCAAACTTGCACCCGCAGAATGAGGAGGAGCACTTCATTCCTCCTGGAAATATAGCGGCCTGCTTGCCTCTTGGGCAGTGACTTCCAGGCCGCACGGCCTCCAAGCAACCAGTACCTCCTCCCTTTTGAAGGGAAACGTTATTGCAGACTCCGATATTGCCCGTACAGGCCCTAGACTCAGACTACGTGGACTGGTACTCGCCTAGACCTAGCCTCCTGCACGGTTTGGTGGGCACTTTAGTAGACTGGACGAGTGAACGGGCAACAGTTGCAGTGGAACTTTTGACCCAATATTTAGAAGTTACTTTTTTATTTCCTAGGGCAGTTTACTACTGGGCCTCTAAAAATGTCACTTTTGTCTTCTTCTGCTCGGCCTCGAGTACCCGACACATCTACCGCTACTTGGTGTGGTACCGGCCTACCTGCTATTTGAGTGTTTTTCCCCGCTGCTCTGAGTGTTGCGGGCCTACTCCTGCCACTTGAGCGTTTTTCCCGCTGCAACCCTCAAAGTCACGGCCACAGGTAAGTACCGGCCCTTTGGGCCCCCCGAATGAACAAGTGCCCCTTGCGGGTCACACACACACTCAAGCCGACAAGCACTCAGACAGACACGCAGACCAGCAAGCACACACACAAACGGACTTAGAAAACTCAGCAACAAACGGAAATCTCAGCAAGGCATTCATTCCATTGACAAAAATCAGAAATCAGCTGTGTTTCAGTCCGTGTTTGGCAGGTCCTTACATTCTAGCCTTCTACCACTATCCCTTACCTACCGGTGTATCGGTACTGGCCGTGTGAAGAAGCTCTCGTCCTGACTCAGTAGTAGCTAGCCCTACAAAGAACTTTGGGGCCCGGTTCAATACCTGGTGATGCCCGACAACATGGACTTTTGCTGAGTCACATCCATTTGGCAGGAAGAGTCCGTTGGAAGTTAGATCACCAACCTTGTTGCCACGGAAGATCTTCCCATACCGTGCAATGCCAAATGCACCTCTGCAATTCACACCCAGCTCCTCAAGTTTCTTGAAATCTTCAGTGCGCCCATAGTTCACATTAACCACCTCTCCTTTGACCTTGTTGCCTGCAGCCAAAATCAACACACTAGTATCAACGGCACTGACACCCCACAAGAGTAATTGAGCTTTGATAACTTCAATTGTTTGGTCGAGTGGTTGCAATCATTTTACTTAATTGGTTGCCTTTGATTGACTTCTCAAGTAATCGCTTTTGGTCGGCTCTGGAGTGTTCAATAGATTCTGGTTCTTTAGTTGATTCATTGTTGCATACTCGTGAAACACAGTCATAAGTATGGCGCAGATTCCCAGAACCGACCAGATAATACAGATGTTACGATCCTGGTCATTTCCCAAGTGCAAATTCACAATGAAAGACAATGCCACCCAATTGCGAAAAAAATGAAAGCACTTGCAAAGAGATAAAGACCAGAGGAGAGAGAAAGAAGAAGAAGAAGAAGAAGAAGAAGAAGAAGAAGATATGCACCAGCAAGACCAATGACAATTCCCCCTTCTCTCTCCACCTTCCTCCTCCTCCTTCACTTCGCCAATCTTATTCTTCTCTCAACAATAATAATAACAATGAATGGATGAACCAGAATCAATATCCGAAGTTCCCTCTTACTGCTGACTCAACTCAACAACAACAACAACAACAACAACAAGTCCACCATAGCTATGGCTTCCCTCCTTCAGCCTYCTCTCTCATGCATAAGCTATGGCGGACTAATGAGGGCCCTGCCCTGACGTCCAAAGGACAACCCAAAGCAGCTATGGTGCTGCGCTGATGTCCAAAGGACAACCCAAAGCAGCTATGCCGCTGCTGACTGGTCCGCCATGCCTGACTCTGCCTCGAGATTCCTTGGTGCAGAATTACCCCAACTGGGGCCTTCCAGATGCAGCGCCCAACAAGGTGATGAAGATGGTGTCTACCATAGCCAGGTAAGTGCCTCGCCACTCTCCTCCTTCGCCCCCTTCTTCCTCCTCCTCAAGCTGGACTGCTCGCCATAGCCAGGCTGAGCTCCAGCTGCCCTTCACCTCCAAGCAGCGCTGTACCAGTCCAGCGCTGCGCTCCAGCAGCATGTCGCCAATTCTTGCATACCGCAAATGAGGAGGAGCTACTTCGCTCCTCCGAAAGATATAGCGGCCTACTGGCCTCCTGGGCGGTGACTTCCTAGGCCGAGCGGCCTCCCAGCAACGGGTACCTCCTCCCTTTCGGAGGGAAACATCATTGCAGGCTCTGCTAACCTCCGGACAGGCCCTAGACCCGGGCTACTTGGACTGGTACCGGCCTACCTCTAACCTACCGCTACTGGGCCTCTAAAAATGCCAACTTTTTGTCTTCTTCTGCTCGGCCTCCAGTACCCGACACACCTACCACTACTCGAGCGGTACCGGCCTACCTGCTACTCCAGTGTTTTTCCCCTGCTCTAAGTGTCGCGGGCCTACCCCCGCTACTTGAGTGTCTACCCCCCTGCAACCTTCCAAGTCACGGCCACAGGTAAGTACCGGCCCTGCGGGGCCTTGCAACCAACAAGTACCCTTGCGGGTCACACACACACTCAACCGACAAGCACTCAGACAGTCATGCAAACCAGCAGGCACGCACACACACACAGACATGGAAATCACAGCAGAATGCGGGAATTTCAGCAAGGCATTCATTCCAGCGGAAAATCCCAGAAATCAGCAGTGTTCTCAGTCTGTGTTTTGGCGGGTCATTACACAGAGTACATACAAATACAGCGGAAGACTTGAGATACATGGATTGACTCGGACCTGACTCAGACTGCAACGAAACACTCATAAACATACATCGGTGGTGTGAAGCCCTGGCCTTGAACATAGAAGAAGAGGCCGGGGGCAATGCTCATACACGGATGAATGGAGGGAGGAGAGACGAAGGGAGGAGGAGAGGGAAGATGACGTCAACTCAATATTTCCAAAGATAGTATCTTGAAATGTCAAGAGTAGCGCAAATCCGAAATGTCGTGAACACAGAGTCTCACAGTGTCTCAGATATCGATCTCACAATGTCAAGGTACATCTTCAGAGGTTGATGAAATCAGATCCCAAGAGTAGTCCTACCTGGACCTAAACTGAACCGGCGGTTCCTAGGCCTACCTGGACCTATCTGGGACCGTCATGACCCGGTACCTAGGCCTAAACCGTGCCTACTACAGAACCGGGCCCTAACTGGGGCCCGTGTGGTATCAGTATGCCACATTCATCGATGGATGGATGGATGGATGGATGGATGGATGGATGGATGTCAATTGCACATCAATTTCGATCGATTTCTGGAGTGAACAATTGATCTTGGTTCTTTGGTTGGTTGGTCGGTTTGTGGGAGGGTGGGTGGGTGGGACAGACGGATGAACAGGAGGGCGGGCGGGGGGGCGGGCGGCCGGGCAGTGGAGGGGCAGAGGGGAGGGCAGAGGGAGTGAGGGATGGAGGACTGAGGGACGGAGGGACAGAAAGACAGATGGATGGATGGATGGATGACGAACAGCACAGCAGTGTTTCCGCTTGAATATGCAAGTGCATAATGTGTTGATGACTGGAACAATTGGACTTCTGTATGTGACCCTTAATTTCCAGACTTTTTCTTCTAGTTCCGGACTGGGCCCGTGGCCACTATTGTCACTTCCAGGAGTTCCCTGACTTTCTTGGGACTTTGCTGGTGACTAAGATCCAAGTGACGCAGGCTGAGTCGACTTCTACCGACTCTTCCTAGGCCTGTCAGTCCCTACCAGAATCTACCTGTGACCACCTACCAACCTACTGGTACTGGGCCCAACTCAGGATACGAGAATATGGTACATGGGAACGGGTCTGGGACCGGGTTTGGGACTGGGTCTGGGACCATTGTTGACTCATTAAATAATTCCTGATTTGCGCTTTGTCCCTCCAGCTTGGCTCTCATTGTAGATAGGTAGGATGACTTTATGGGAGCAAGCTGAGGTCGAAGTAGCTACACAGGCATGGCTGCAGGCACTTGTTAAACAAGTTGTCTAAACCCAAGGAGTGGTACAAACCAGCGTGCAGTGAACTTGAAGAGACACGGATTAACTTGGGCGAAGACAACTCAACAAGTCCTAAGCATCGAGGATTACAGAGGTCACAGGGCCCGAATCTCTGCTCTGCAGCCACTTACTCAGGCAGAGAGCCGGTTGGGTAAATATGGCTGGCCACTTCGTATTGTTTCCGGCTTAAAGAATTCCTGAGGACTTACGACCGGTCCATGAAATTGGCTGTTGGCCAGTCCAGGTGATTGCATAGTCTAATTAGTAGGAAGAAGGATGTAAGTAGAAGTCAAAAGTCCACGAATTTAGGTCAAGCGACTGTAGAGTCTACGTGGCACCATGGACGTCAAACTTTGACTGACTGCTGTACCACCGAGCACCATGGACGACTATCTCGGGTTCACCCTCCTTACCTTCTCTGTCCTCCGGCAGCCATCATTATGATTCTTCTTCCCATTGGGTTCCTTCCAATGTAGTTGCATGAGTGTGATCGAAGACGGGGACAGGAAAGTGGTTTGCCCGCTCGGGGATGAAGAGTACGAAGAAGAGAAGAAGTGGACGGAAGAAGAAGAAGGAGAAAGGAGAGACACAGGAGGAGGAGGAAAAAAAGAAGAAAAAGGAGAAAGGAGGAGAATAGAAAGGAGGGAGATGGATATCACGGCCCAATGGCAAAGAACAAGGCGACAAGCTCAGCTAAATCCGGTGAAAGAACGGGAGATATTTAAGACTTTTAGCCAGATAACGTTGAGTAAGGGAAAGATAGCAACCATTGAAGGATAGTAGGATACAGATTGGTCTTCCATTGGTTCGAGAATAAAAACCAGCGGAGGCAAGAATAGAGTGTTAGGCTCATAAGGGTAAACTTAAGTTCAGCTAGGAGGGAAGGTGTAGTACCCTAAACTCAATTTTCTAGGGGGTCACTAGGGTTTAGGGTTTAAGGGAATAAAGGGAAATGAAGAAATGGCACTCTGAACTTAGTCTTTCTAGGGGGTCAGTAAGGTTTAGGGTTTAAGGGAGGTGATAAAAATGAAGAAAGATACAGAGTTGAGGGCTTTTGGGAGAAAGATAGAGAGGAAGAAAGTTACAGGTTGTAGGGGAGGGGAATAGTGCAGGTTTTATCTCATGACTAGGAAGGAGTAAAGTTAAGTTGTAATTGAGGTGTAAAGTTTACGTTTATCTATATTAAAAAAAAAAAAAAAAAAAAAACATGTGCACAAATGGAAGGCTGAGCTAGCTCTTTCTAGGTGGCATGCATATATCTGGCAGATCGGGTTGTCAGATCTGAGAGGAAAGAGTGGGGTATGGCAAGCTGACAGTCAATCCTCCACCAAGGTGGAGCAATCAATGCTGTTCAGGGGTCCTTCGGCCAGACGGAAGGAAGCGTGGGTGGTTCTTATTGTAATGTTTATTCGGACTTGCCGGTGGAATAGGAACCGGACTGTTGCTCCCCAGAATGGAAAGGA